CCGAATGATTTCTGCTTTTATTTTGTAAAATGTTTAATGATATTATAATGTAATATATTGTTATTTGAGAGAAGAAATGGTAAATATGATGTATATGTAGTTATTATGAGTACGATCAAAATAAAAGATACAGAAAATAAAGTATTATGAAGAATATTTAGAATAATTTGTAAAAAATGAGAAACATAGTTATAGAAAAACTCTATCTGAAAAAAAGAAATTCTAAATATTAACAAAAATTTATGTTGCATTTCATTTAAAAATATCTAGCACGTCTTTATTTTTCATATAATAGTACAAGCATACAAATTTCATTACTTTTTCCACATTCTTATCGTTTATTTAAAAAAGGCTGATTAGTAAATACATGAACATCCAATGAACTAGAATATAGAATGCTTCTAGGGCCTGTTAACATTAACCAATATTTGTAGAATTAGACAGTAGAGATGGTGCCAAATTATTTAGCAAACAGCCAGGCAGGATAGTCAGAGTGGCCCAAGGCTCTGGAGTCACGGAAAAAGAAGTCAAAGATTTAATTACACAGTACACGAAATTCGCAGCTGTTGTAAAGAAAATGGGTGGTATTAAAGGGTTATTTAAAGCAGGAGATATGACCAAGAACGTAAATTCCACACAAATGGCAAAATTAAATCATCAAATGGCAAAAATGATGGATCCACGAGTCTTGCATCAAATGGGTAAGTCATTTACAAATTGAATGTTCTTATAATGTTATTTTACTATCATCAAGTACTTTCTAAACTACTGTATATTTACTGTAATGGTTTTTGCTGGAAGTTTGTCGATCAAAATAATTAAGTCAACAGATACTTGTGAAATCTGCCAGTTTTCAGTTAGAGATGAAGAGCTTGTTGAAAAAATATATCATACTTAGAAACTGCATTTGGAATTGTTGTCATAGTTCAGTTAGTTACATAAAGGAAACCTTGAGACAAAAACAAGTTGACTTGAGTCATTACAATCTAGTCATCTTTGCTCAATATCAAGAAGAAATTGCATGATAGCCCAAGGAATTAGGAGATGCATTGTAAAATTAAAAATGTTAATTCTGAAGTATATTTTTATATCATAGAAAATTTTCTGATACTAAATATATTTTTTGAATAATTTTTTTCAATGTAATAATACAAGTTTCTACTGCAACAAAACAGTGCAAAATTGTTTGGAAAACAATGCAATTAAATACACAAAATGGTTAAGAAACAGTGTAGACTAAGCCCTTTAGAAAATTTTAGATAACATGAAAAAGATTAATAAGTATTAAAAATTCCAATAACTTAAATGATTCTCATGAAATAATCAAAATTTCATAGGATGTTTCACAAAACGTTAGA